AGGCACAAGTCTACATGGCATGTGTGGTGAGTACATGTCTCTACTGCTCGGAATTCTAGACCCTGCGCTCTCGCCAGGAGAGACGGTTCAATACCTTGCACATGCGAAACCTGAGACGCAGCCTTGACATCACGTGGAAAGACCACGTCACCAGCAACACAGTACTCGAGAGAACAGAGTCCCTTCAATGTTCAATCTCCTGAAACAGAGACCCATGCGATGGCTGGGACATGTCACACACACATGGAAAATGGCCGTATACCAAAGGACCTCTTGTATGGAGAACTGGCATCAGGAAGGAAGGAGACCCACCGGAAGACCTCAGCTGCGTTTCAAAGATGCCTGCAAACGCGACCTCAAGCAGATGAACATCGACATCAACACTTGGGAGGCAGCAGCTGTGGACAGATCTGCCACTAATGCAAAGGTCAGAAGGGACTCCAGCAATTCGAGGATGACCTAAAGAGGCAGGCGGAGGATAATAGACTTTAGAGGAGGTCTCGACCACTGCCAGACGCACCCGCTTCAGCGTTTTATCTGCGCTCGCTGCAGTCGAGACTGACATTCTCGGGTTGGCCTTCTCAGCCACAGCAGATGCTGCATCCAACTAGAATACAACAAAAAGACACCCAGGGCTCCATAACCGGATTGACGGATGCCTACTACTACTACATTTCCAATCAAATCCTGTATTGACTTCATTTACCATATTCCCCAATCATTTTTTGATTGAGTCCATTTTTCATTCACATAGTTTTCCTATTCCAATACACATTATTCCTAAACAATCTCCAGCTCAGTAGGCATTACTTAGCAGTGATACTAGTCACTCACGGCCTCCCTGTTATCAGCTGCAGATTTATTTCAAGAAAACATTCTCCAATGTGTCCACCAACAATTTATAATAGGAAAGAACCTCCACAGGAAGTAAGGTTCTTAACAGTGGGCTCAAAAGATGTCGTTGACATCGTTCCATCACACCTCACCTTCTAAAAGAATTGGTGTCGGGTGCGCTCAGCGTTATTTCATTCAAACAAATACAGGATAAAAATAAACAAATTGATGTGTATTTCTCTAAAGAAATAAAGTGTATTATTTCTGACTAATAAGTGTTTCTCAGATCACAGCAAACATTTCACAGATCACAATGGTAGTCAGTCATAGTTGGAAACATGAAGTTAAAGGAACAAATCAAAATTGGAATAGTTATGCAACAACATGCAATAAAAAATTAATGAATTGAAATACAATTACATCTTTTTACACAAGACTGCCCTGGTAAAAATCCCATACAAATGTGAATAAACTGTTAAATTACTGTAATTCTTAAATACAGTTCCTTAATCTTGCCCTGTACAAACTATATATAAAGAAAAAAGTGATAGATTACTTTGTCATCATTAGCAAAGATATCTAGAGCACTATTCATCATAGAGTGGTGTTTGGTCTCCTCCAATGCTCATGTTAGCAGGTGAATGGATGGTTTTAGGTGTTGAACGAGCAGAGCGAGGAGTAGCACGTGGGTTGTCATAATCATGGTAGGGGCGAGGTGTGCGGTCATCATAACGTGGAGTACGGCGAGATCCATCGTCAGGATATCTGGGACTAGAGGGGTATCTAGAGTCACGATTATCAGAGTACCGAGGAGTTGAGCGACCACCATCATGGTGTCGTGGAGTCATCCTTCCACTATCATGTCCACTACTCCCACCCTTGGCTTGTACCCAAGCAGCTGCTGCCATTTTCCAGTCCATTTGTTCTGTTCGGCTACTAACTGGAGGGCCAGAGCGAGATGGCTGAGGCAAATGTCCTGTAGATGGACGATGTGAGGGAGTTCGGTTACCACTACCACTATATACAGGGGTTTGTGATCCACTATAACGAGGTGTAGTGGATGGCCCAGGGGTGGCATATGGTGTCATAAATGGTGTCTGACCTGAAGGTGTATAAGGGGTATTAGCATAGTTTGAGTAACCCTGAGAAAAACCTCCAGGAGTGTTGACACTATACGGCGTATTGGTGGCTGCCTGGGAGAGGTTATGAAGCATGTGTGGATTTAAGTTCTGAGCAACTTTCTGGATTGTGGAGGCATCAACACCCATAAGATTTGGTGTTGTGCCACCCATGTATGGTGTGCGTGTGGACATCATTCCTGGTGTTGCACCTGGCAATGCTCTACGGAAATTTTGCTTAAACCATTTTAGTAGTCCAGCAAGGTTTGGATATTGCATTCTTTGCCTAAACTTGAAACCTTCAGGAGTGACAGTTACAAATTCATGGATCACTTTCACTCTTGGTAAATATGACAAGAGAAACTTCCCTGGCAAATCCTTTCTTGGTGAAAAGATATACGGAATTGTCTTCGGGTTCTTCTTTTTCTCTTCTTTCAGTAGCTCAGCTGCTTTCTCCTTATTGCCCATGATGGACTCTTTATAATATTTATATTCAAGGATTTGTCTTACATTACTGGCCATGGGTGATATGTATCTGGCAATAATTTCATCCAAATCCTCAAATTCTTCATTTCCAATCCATAGCTTCTGACCAAGAGAGAAGTCATTTTGCTTATCCTGTTCCAGCACGTCGATGTGCTGACATATTCCTTCTGTGACTTTCCAGGTAGCAGTAAGATGATTAATTCCTTTACTTGATGGTCGTATGATGACCTCTCCTTGCTCCAGTTGCTGCATAACCTTTTCTGCTTCATTATAGTCAATGTTTCTAAAAGATGGATGAGCAATCACTCGCTTTTGATACTGAGTCTTCTTTTTGTCCATCTTTTTCCTGTCTACATTCAAATCTTTCTCTTCAGCTTCATGGTCATAATAGGCATCCTTTGGAACCTTCCACTTGTTATCTCGGTCTTGTAGGTCTGATGTTCGGGATGTGAGCTCAACCGAAAACTTCTCGGGATCAATTTTCATGATACGGCAGAGAACAAGACCATCTCGTCTCACTCTTTCTGCTGGATTTGTCACCGTTTTATCCGACAAATTTTTTATGCTAATAAAACCTGATATCCCATTATCTAATCGAACTCTAATCCCTATGGCTTGACCTGGACAATCACCAGCATCAAAATGATTCCACACTTCACTTAGTTCAGGAAAATCATTTTTTAGACAGAAAGGACACTGCCAAAGACCTGTGTCTTCATTTCTGACAGGATTGGCATTATCCAGTTGATCACCACGGGGTTTGCGATGAATAAAGTTTGTGACCGAAACCTGAACAAGCTTACCGACATAAAAAGTTTCTGGCGACTCCTTAGTCAAGATGTTGAAAACTTCTTCTGGAGTTGGAGACCTGAACGGTAACCTAAAATCTCTGTACCTATGATTAAGCTCATGTCTAATATCGTACAAAGTTGTGTTCTTCTTACCAAAGCCCTGATTCTGTAGTTCAGTAGCAAAAGCTTCAAGGTCAAGCTCACTGAGTCTCTCTGGTGTTTCTAAGATTTCCTCCAAGGCCTCTGCAGGTTTACCCTCTTCATCCTCATATTCTAGTGCATCAACAGCCATTTTTCTAGCCCAGTCATAAGCTTCTGGGTGAATTCTGGTAGAATCTAGAACCTCTATATAATTATCACTATCACCCAAAGCATTGGTATCAATCTTGATAAATCCTGCACAGTTAATGAATACCTTAGGACCCATATGGAAGTTGACAACTAACTGGTTTCTATTTTCTAGACGTTGATTATTCTGCTTCATATTCTTTATAAGCAGGTTGGCCTTTCGTGGTCCTAATCCACAAACAAATTGGACCAAGTTCTGTGTATAAGGATATGCTACAGCACGATTCAAATCTACCCCAACTTCATTTGTGCGGTTGACAAATTCAGTGTACAGAGCATCAAGTAGCTCTGTAGGGTTTAACTGATCCTGTAAACTGTGGAATTTAATGTTAAGTAATTCTTCATCAGTATTACATAGCTGTGAGAATTCAATCAATGGATCCTGAACACGTCGACCAACTGATATAGCCTGTCGTAATAGTGGAGGGTAGTCAAGGAAGTCTGCTTCTCCTTTTTTTGACATTGCATAAATATGAGCCAGGTCATTGTCAATGATTTCTGCATTTATTTTAGGAAACTGTTCTTGTTCTTCAAGATCTTTGAGGATTTGAATCAAGTCTTCCTTAACCATGAGAGCTTCTCGAGATTGTCCACATATGGCAATACAATGTGGTTTACGGCGAATTATAAAATCCTGCATGCGCCTAATATCGCTTTCTTTAGCCATAGCATCTCTTTCATTGTAAGCATTACGCCGTTTGAGCAAATGTGGGAGACGAATATATTCACAACAATCGCCATCAATGTCAATGCAACAACCAAATGCTGCTTGGGAAAGGTCTGGAACAAATGCAATAGAAAATACTCTGAAACCTTTACTAGTATCCCAGTCATCTTCATCTTCATCAGAAAAGTCTCCGGGATTATAGGGTGCAATTTTAATCCAGTTATAGAGTTTACTGCAACACTGTTCCATCACATGATCTTTTGATTCCTGAACCAAACGTTGAGTGAGTTCCCTTTTAAGATCTTCAATAATCCGTTTGAAGGTAAATTCAATTGCCCGGCCTCTCAGGTCATTCCAGTCTTGGACAACTTGGGAAAACTCATCCTTGTAATACAACTGTTTCATTTCATCAAGATAACTCATGGTTGTATTCCCTTCAATGGTATCAGACAAGCTAATTGTCAGCAGTTTGTCTTCAACACCACATTTGAGACGAAGGAACTGATCGCCCTGCAGATCAGTGACTGGTTTATCTTTCAAATATTTAAGTGCATAAAGTGAATGATGTTCATCAATGATCTTCACACCCTGTGGGGTGGGCCTGCTGCTGATCCTGGCACGTTCAAAGTATGCCTCTCTAACTGTGCGTCGTACAAGGGGTTCACAAGCCAACTGCCAACCAACCATCCTAACAGCTGCTTCAAGGACACGCTCTGGGGTGCTGCACATTCTGAAAATACAGTTTTCATCATACTTCACAGGTAATACTTAATAAAAATACCATTAGTTTAAATATATGGAAAACGTTGAACAAAAGGTGCAAAATTTAGGCAAAACCCCTTCATCTCTAGCCATTTGCACATTCATAGCGCAAAAGAATGCTAAAATTCTATCCATTTGTCTTAATTATATCCTTGATTTATCTTACACTTTCAGTAGGATGATGCGGTTAAATTAGTGAATTGAGAGTCCTTTTTAGTGATGGATTAAAGCAGGAGTGAGTTTTTAGTCGTGTTTTTTGCAACGTTTTATTAGTGCCAGAATTGAGAGGGTTCAGATTTTTATATCACGTTTGTATATCACGTGTTTATTTTACGTGATTAGCTGTACGTGATTTCGTTATTAGAACCATTAGCTGTATATTTACAGATAAATCATTCAACTATCTCATTACTTACTTGGAAATGAGCTGCTTAGCTTCCCTCGTGGGGTCCTCTGGCCACTGTTGAACATCAAACCTCTGATAGTTATCACGTAGGTTCTCACCAAACTGCTCAGCAGTCAGGCCAAATTTCTTTGTAAGTGACTCTGAAATTTTGAGTTTGGAATCAATAACAAAAAATAATTTAAATTTTAATCAAGTTAATGGTTAATTAAAATGTGTTATGAATATTGCATTTCACTAGTTACTTTGTTATGTAATATTGTTTATGCTAACAACTAGATAACCAATGATACAAACCAAATATAAATTCAAATCACGGAATTTATGCTCTTCGTGGTTCGATAAAGTGCACAAAAATGAAGATATATGAGTGTGCATATAGTGTCGTATCAGTAAAAGCAGAATGATTATTTGATCATACAGTTAAAAATATAAATTTTCATAAGAATATGATAATTAACTAATTAGTGACACTAATCTATCTATACGCGTTTCTATGACAAATAATAATATCGAGCCCAATGCAACACCGCATGTGGAAAAATATGGTAAGAACTACGACAAAAAATTATATTGTATGCGTGCTATAAGAATTACGTTCAAAATATGCGTGGCAAGTCTGATGACCATTATCAATTCGATTGTCGCAATCATTAATGTGTCTGTAATATAATATAATCGATAATTAATATAGTCGATAATGGTGGTCGAAACGTCGTCGTCTCCTCATCTTCTGGTGTGTGTGGTTTAATCTTCATAATATTCATGTCTAGCATGCAAATTATTTTTAAGTATAGTGATATTCTGCACATTTTATAATATACATTTAATCAAATTTTTCGTGTTAATCACGTGTTATTTTCGTTATTTACACGACATTTATCAAATTGAATATTTATCTTCAATATTACTGCATGAAACCATAAATTTAAATTTAATCAGACACTGAAATAATTAAGTAAAATTATCTTGGCGACAATTCCCGCCCCGGACGAGGCTTAAGCAGTCCGCTGACAACACCTGTTTACTGCTGCACTTCCTCACTCCATCCCGGCCATAGTATGTCATATACATATATTTTTATAGAAAGATTGTAATAAAAGTTTTTTATTCATATTTTAACATTAGAAAGAAAAAAAATAATACTTCTAACAATGCCTCAGTAGTTTAAATGTATTAGTCTGATATTCAGCTAATAGTTCTCTATTTTCTACATCCATCCACGTTTCGGTAAGTGGAATAATATCTATTTTTTCTGTAGACACAAGAGCATTTAATTCGTTTATTTTGTTTCTTAGACTTCTACTGTCAGTATAATATACCCTAAGTGTAATGTTATTTTGACCCCCTTCTCTTTCCCTGATCATTTTGCCAATTTCTTTCTCCCACAAACACATACTTCTATTTAAGAATAAATAAAAATTTAAATTAAATATAAAAATTTAAATTCTTAAAGATTAAGAATTTATTCATAGCAAATTACATTACACTACAAATTACAATTACACATATGTCCAACTCACGTTTAAAACAATTGAGGGACCCTACCTCCACCACGTTATGCGGTAATTGGTTCCACAAGTCAACAACCCTGTTACCAAACCAGTATTTACCCAGGTCTTTCCTGACTCTAAACTTATCCAATTGATACCCATTGTTCCATGTTCTGTCGTGTGTTGATACTTTTAAAACACTAATAATATTCCCTTTATTATGTCTATTCATCTACTTGTAAACCTTTATCATATATCAACTAACTCTTCGCCTTTCCAATGAATGCATTTTAAGCTTTGTTAATCTTTCTTCATATGACAGGTTTCTAATTTGGGGGATTAACGTTGTCATACTACGCTGGGCACGTTCAAGTGAATTTATATCCATTGTAACTAGTGACTAAATGGACTTTATATAGTGACTAAAACTGAACTGCATCATCTAAATGGGGCCTAACGAGAGCAAAATATAGCTGAAAACAACACTAGGAGTCTTGTTACTAACGCTTCGATTATTCAATCCCAGTGTCCTTTTTGGCTTATTACGAACATTTATCCACTGATTTTTTTGGTTTTAAATTCTTACTAATCATAATTCCCAGATACGTTTTACAATCTGACTTCGTAGTCTCAACACCAACTAGCTCGTATTTTGTCACTCTTATCATCATTATTTAGCCTCAAACCTTACACTTATCAGTCTATTGTCTCTCTCTTACAATCTTAGGACCATTTCAAAACCCTATTTAGATAGTCTTGAAGTGATAGTGATTCTTTTTCTGTGTTTATTTCTCTCCTGATTTTTGTATCATTGGGATATTTGCAAGTATTGTTGCTCAAACCTGAATCTAAATCAATTATATATATTATAATTAACATAGGTCCCAGGACAGAGCCTTGAGGCACCCTATTTACAACATTTTCCTATTCTGACTTAACCCCATTTATACTCTCTGTTTCCTTTGGAATACCTATGCCCTATTCCAACTTAATATAGCATCCCCAATACCATGGGCCTCTATCTTTTTAATCAGTCTTTCATGTGGCATTGTATCAAAAGCTTTGCTAAAGTTAAGTTACACAACTTCACAATCCTTACCACTATCAACTGCCTCAACTATGCTGGAATAAAATGATTGCAAATTTGTTAAGAATGTAACAATGATTTTTGCCTCGAATTTATCCCATAAGAATCCTTTAAGAATGCAGCGGTGACTTTTGCTACGAATTTTCCCCATAGGAATTCCTCAAGACATCAGGAAGGATTTTTTCCAAAAACCTAAATTACAGCTAAGCTGTCTATTTTCCTGGGCCCAAAATCTAAGTCAACAACACCGGTATTTTCTGATCAAATTTTAAATTCTGCTAGACTAATCTCTGACTCCCATTTTTTCTGAGCTTGCTCCACTTCTAACCTCTTTATAGCTAGTTCTTGCTTTGCCTTTAGCCTCATCTGAGCTTGTTCTACCTCTAGACTTATCGGAGCTTGTTCTGCCTGTAGCCTCTTCTGAGCTTGTTCTGCCTTAAACTGCAACTTCTTTATTCCAATTCTGCATGCCATTGTGTCTGAGTCTCTACATTTATTTTTGCAACAACATGTGCACCACTGGTGGACGCGGGGCTGTTGTGGGGGAGATTTCCCCACATTTGCCCAATATTTCCTGTGTGAGAATTTGCTTATCTAGCCAGTCCATCATTACCTCTCTTAGCAGTCCTTCATCACCATTTCCATGTGCAATAATATTCCATAGTGCTTGCCAACAGCCACTAAGATCGAATTTTTGCCAGTTGATAAGACAGGGCAACAGCCACTAAGATAGACTTTTTTGCCGCTTTCAAATCCTCAATGATTGTCAACAATTTGTTCTGCTACCAAATCCAATGTTTGCGTGCTAAGATACAGCAGACTCAAACACGAATTTGAAGCTTCAGCACCAGCTTCCTCTTTTAAGCTCAGAATTAGTTTCGAAAAACTGATGGGGACAGTGCTTAGTTCACTTGACTGCCCTGTCCACTGGCAAATTTTTGCACTTGAGACCACAATTTTTTAACGCTTTTCATAAAGATTAATATAATCTACAAACAATATACAATAGACTACATAAATTCATTTTCTACCAATATTAAAAATATTTTAAATTTCTACACAAATCAAATAAAAAGGCTACACAATTGTTTGAGCTAACTACACGCTAGAAAGTGAAGAGACAACGAAGTTTCGGTCTGTTCTGGACCACTGGACCATCACCAACTCGTTTGTGATAATGGTCACAATCGACTTGATAGTGGTCCAGGACAGACCGAAACATTATCATCTCTTCACTTTCTAGTGTGTGGTTTGGTCAAACATTTTTCACCCACATTATTGTGACTCCTCATCTGCATAGGCTTCACAATTTTTATGTCAGGTTTCACATAAAGGCTACCCCTTTTTATCAAGCTTTCGATCAGGCTTTCCAATATGTGAGGTCCTCCCAGACAGGCCCCCAATTCTGTCATGACTGGGGAGTGTGTGGTCGTGAATTTGTAAATGTTGTCGGGGGGGGGGGGGGGGAGGGAATAGAAGCTTTAACTTGAGCCAACGGGAATTCAAGGAGTAAGGAAACAGCAAAGTACATAACATAAAGATTTATATGTATAAGGCACGACATAATACATGTCAAAATTTGTACTCTTTACAACTCAAGGTCAATCAACCTTGAGTTGATTGGGACCTGGGGGACCTGGTCAATCAACTCCCCCAATCAACCTGGGGGAGTTGATTGACCAATCAAGGTAACAACTTTTAATAGTGAAGGTTAATAAAACTCCCAAATGGGCTCTGGACATCCTATGGCTCTTAGTCCCAAAACTGATCATCTGCCTGCAGCCACCACACCTGTCAACTGGTGACACACATATATAAACCGCTAGGAAACCTGGACTCAAATGTCAGGTTTGGCTCTAACATCTGATCTTGTTTGATCTTTTTCCAGTGCGGCAATGTAAGCATAAGTGGGACCATCTATTGTTTTTTTTGGTTTTGAAGATGGTCCTTGGCATTGGTTTGGGGGCTGCTCTTGGGTTCTGGCTGGCTTCTAAATTAGTTTCTTCAGGCG